GGGGGGGGGGGCACAGGGAGGGCTGTATAACACAGAGAAGACAAGTAGTGACTCTACAGCATCTAACTATGCTGATGGACAGTGACTGTAATGGGGTATGTGGTGGGGACTTGATAATGGGGAGAATCTAGTAACCACAATTTTGTTCGTGTGATTGTGTGTTAATGATATCATTAATTAAAAAAAAATGGAAAATACGTCAGAAAAGATTTAGGGAAAGTAGATCCAGAAGATGCAACATCCAGTATGAGAGACTGGAGTGGATGAATTAAAAAGATACTTAAAGAAACAATGGAGTGAAAAAAAACCTGTGAGCTAAAAACAGAGTTGATACTTCAAAGTCCCACTGAAGGTCAGTAAGAATACTGAAAGAAAACACATATCTAGACACACCCTGGATTCTAAAAAGAAGAAGAAAAGTTTACAGCTTTCAACCAAGAAAAATAAGCTACCTGCACAGGAAAGAGAACCAGACTGGCATCAGACATCCTAATGTAACATTAAATGCTGAAGGCAGCAGAGCAGTATTTAGAGAGCTCTGGAGGAATTTCGTTTATGAAGAGCAAAAGAGAAAGGCAGTGCCAGACGTGCAGGGTCTCACTGAGGGTATTACTTATACTTATCCCCCCAAAAAATTAGTAGAGAAAGTGTTCTCGTCAAAAAAATAGCAAATTAAAATAAGGAATTTTAATAGGCAGCTGTGGCATACAAAGAACAGTGGTATGTTGAAGCTAAGTAATTTTGATAATGTATTTATGAAGATTAATGCATATTTTAAGAAAAGACTCTTAAAATAAGAGATACATTATAAAAACATAATAAGCTGAAGCTACATTCTAAATTGCTTAGTACAGTATGAGACAAAAACACACAAAAACTTCCATCTTGATGTGAGGTACTCTTGATAGAGATGATGATAAATTCTATTTAACTTCTTATGCTCATAAATGTAAGTTCAATATGTCTATTAAAATTATCAGAGTAAAAATACTACTTATACAACTAACATGAGTTAATATTTACCAAGTGTTTACTCTGAATGTGTCAGGCAGTATTTTAAGCACTTCACATATAATGATTCAATAATCCTTACAATAACCCTATGAAGGAAAGGCAGGTACTATTATCCCAGTTTAACTTATGGGGTACAAACTGAAGCACAGAAGTTTTAAGTAACTTGTTGAAGTAACTAAGTTTACAAAAGGTGGAGTCAAGATCTGAATCCAAGCAACAAGCCATCATACCTCTCTTAACCTCTGTTCTACTGCCTTTCACTTGAATAGATTGGAAGCAGGGTATAGAGCTTTCAAACCCCTGGAAGAAGAAAGAAACAAAGAAAACAACTGATCCAGCAGAAGTTGGAAAAGAAATAAAGCAGGAATGTATACAAATGGAAAATATCATATAGCACGAGTAATATACTAGAGTCTTTACACAATGACATGGAAAGATGAAATACTGGATGAAATTAAAAAGGACACAGTACAAAGTTTATTATGATTTCATTTATGTTAATGTATACACACTTATCATCTACATATGTTTATCTTTGGGAAAAGTCTGCTGACAGTTCTTTTAGAAAAGATAGATTGTCAGGGAGCCTTTAATCTATAATATTTAAAATTTTCACAATAATCATATATAAACTGAAAAATAACATCTGAATAAAAAGGCAAGGATGCCACCACAAGGACCTGTTTTTCTCAGCTGTAACTGACAAATAAGGATTATACATTTGTTAAATGACTGTATAGATATCTCTAAGATTAAATCACTACTGATACAGCACTAACACAGAGAAGACACGTAGTGATTCTACAGCATCTTACTATGCTGATGGACAGTGACTGTAATGGGGGTTGTTGAGGGGACTTGGTGAAGGGGGAAACCTAGTACACATAATATTCCTCATCTAATTGTAGATTAATGCTACCAAAAAAAGACACACAAAAAACAGCACTTAGAATGTTCTTCCTGACCTAGTATTTTTCAGTGCTCACTTAAACAATCCTATTTATTTCTCCATACCACTTTCAGGCTGACACTACTGCCACACTAAGCATCAAATGAGTCTTCCATCTACAAATGAGTTACGTAAGTACAGCACTGTTATCAAATCTATGATACCATCATTCCTTAGATGCACCTTTATTTTATGAAACACCAAGCAATGAAAAAATACTTTCAATCAAACTATGGCAAACTATCAAAATATCTGATTTCAGAGAAGTTAAAAATTTTTAATGTGCATTTTAGAATCAACTAAATATGGATACTCTCCTTATCAGATGGTACTCTTGCTATGTACCAAGTCCATGCTAACTGCTTTTACATGTATTATCCCATTCATTCCTTACAGAAACCTCATGAGATAGATGCTATCATTCTCATTTTACAGACAGGGAAACAAGGCACAGAAAAACTAAAAAATCTGTCCATAATCAAACAACCAGTAAGTAGAGGGATAAGGATGTGAACAAAGTAATCTGACTACACAGTACATTCTCTTGTCTTTACTGCCTGGGAGAGAGCTTCCTAGTCCCTTCTTGACTAAATTCTTAAAGAAATATATCAAGAATATTATAGACTGTCCTTGTCAGATGAAGCCCTATGTTGTGCTGTAACCACTGGACAGCCACTGGAAGGATTTTTCCAGGAATCTAATCTAAGAATACAACTAGGAATATCTGAAAAAATGAATAGTTCACATATCCCTCAGCTGAACTTTCCTAGATATCATTTCCCTTATCAATAACCTTGTCAGATCTCTGGATGCATTTGGAAGTGTCTCTGAAAGGACCATGCACCCCCTCTGCCATCCACACATCTTACCCTCGAGCAGTTCGCGCTGTCACTATAAGCTGCAAGGCTTTGGCCTGCAGCCTCATGTGATGTATAATCACCACCTGCTGACTCTCCACACCATTGTACATGAACTCCATTTTGTAGGTCTCTTCCATGATCTATAAGGAGAAGGTAATTCACAATCAGTAAAAATATCATCATAGTCTTACTTGAGAACAGCACAAGGCCCTAGATGAAATTCTCAACTAAGAATTTTTTTCCCTTAATTCCTATGTTCTAATTCTGAATTAAGATTTTTGAATGCTTATGTTGAGAGAAATTAATATGATCAGTGTATGCCTTATGAAAAGAGAATGTATTATTTTGTCAATTAAAAAAATACTTTCATCTGGTAATAAAGTCAGTTCAGTTGATAATGTGAAGATGTGAAAATTTAATCACTGAAGAAACATTGCTTGGGGAAAGTACTGCTTGTAACCCTAAATCAAACTCACTGTGCTATGAGAACAAATGAATATATACTATGTGTGGGAAACCCAAGCAAATATCTTCAAGAATTAGCATCAGGAACCATCAGCTCCTTGTTAATCATCCAGACAGACTGTTCTATGGGCCTGGTCTGTCAAGAGAGCTTGGGAAGGGAGTAAGTTCAGAAAACTGTGTCTATGTTCTCAGCTCAAACCCAGTGTATCTGAAGCTTCTGCTCTATTCTACCCAAATATTGCCTCTGTTCAACCCTTCTGTGCTTGCCTTCCTTTGAAGGCTTTAGGGACGGAGAAATAACTCTAGGCCTTCCTACAACTGGCAATAAAACAAGTTACTTAATTACATGTTGCCTCAGTTTCCCTATCTATAAAGAAACAGCACCAACACTGTACAATGTAAAGGATTACATGGTGCTTAGCACAGTACCTGGCACACAGCAATGGTATTTCCTCTTTTCTCTTTCTTACAGACTACTGTTCTGTGGCCCTACTCCTCCCAACATGGCCCATTTAGGGGCTCTACTCTATGCGACAAGTAACCCACATAGCAGGTCTGAGAGAGAGGTCAAGAATACTGGAAAGAAAAAAAATCTGGGCTCAAGTACCTGACTCTACTACCTCTAGCTCTATAAATTTAACTTTGCTGAGCCTTAACTGTTTCATCTGTAAAATGGACTCAATACTTATTCCAAATGGTACTATTCCTAATGATATTGTGAGAGTTAATGACAATAAACTTGAAATCACTTAGCAAACCATAATGTAACAATCACAGTCTCCATCAATAGCTTCTACTTGGTCATAATCACCGGTCATACACTAACTCACTATCCAGAAGACATTAAAAGAGTTCACCAAATCCCAATATGAAAGAATGAAGGGAAACTGCTCAAAGCCAGAAAGAAAGAAACGCAAGGTAAAGAAAATCAAATGCTAGTTAATGAACTGAGGAAAAATATAAGGACCTTTTAACATTCAAAAGATGGTACAGGCTAAAAATATAAATCACCTCACAGTGAATTCAAGTACACTTTCTGATGAAAAATTTGTGATAGTATTTTACTGGATTTTAGGATATCTAAAATACAAACTAATATTTTAGAACACAAAAGAATCTTAGAAATCAACTAACTCAGTTGCCATATTTTACAGAGAAAGAAAAATCCAGAAGATTACATAGTAACTTGCCCAATGTCACCAGCCAATTAGAGACAGATCTGGGACTAGAACCCAGGTCCCCTGACTCCAAAGCCAATGTTGTGTGCCCTAATTAAGCCACTTCTCATATCACTAACTCCAGGCACAGGCTGAAAGTGGGGAGGCCACAGCAAAGGCATGGAGCCACGTGAAGGCCTCTGGCTCCGACACAGACCAGACAGTCCCAGACAGAGATCCCGCCGGGGAGAAGGTCTCAGTACACTTACTTGTTTTGCTGCTGCTGAGGCCAAATCGCTCTGCTTCACATACAAGGGCGCAGCCACATTCCACAGCTTTTCCTGCAAGGCCTACAGAGACAAATAAGGCAAGAACAAAACACAGAGGTCAGAAAGGTGGGCGTAGCATGTGAGATTTAGGTGTGTATTTTGCTTTGAAAATCTACTGGATGAGGACTTCTTCTCAATCTTATTCTTTAAACCTATTAATAAGCCCTACCTATTATGGAGAAAAAGGAGACTGACGGTTTGGGCTAGGTTAGTCTTCCCCATTCAATCCAATTCCTGGCCCAAAGGCCTTATGTCCCAAACTAGTGCTTACAAGCAGAGAACAGGAGCCATGAAGGCCTCACCAGAAGGTCCAGGGAGGCCAGCTTCCAACGTGCTGAGCCTTCCTTGTTCCCAGACTCATTGGACTGCCCTGAATGCCTACACCCTTCTTCCTTGACTGGGGTTCTTTTTCCTTTGCACCACACTCACAATCCTTTGAACAGCTCCACCACCTTACAACTTAGAAAACAGAAACCAAGAAGCTTTCCTACATCCCTTCCCCTCTCAATCTCTCTACATTCAAAATAATCACTTAGAACCACAGATTTTACTTTCCATCCCTCTCTTCCCCTGTCCACCTACATGGCCCCATCTCTCAACTCTCATCTAAACCTCTGCTCTAGTATCTTATTGTCATGGTTCCTCTTAACTACATACATAATCTAATGACATTATAGAAAACCTACACTAATTCATGCCCAGCAGAAATATAACACAAGCAACACATTTAATTTTACATTTTCTAGTAGCCACATTTTTAAAGCAAAGAGAGAGAAGTGGGTGAAATTAATTTAAATAATTTAACCCAGTATATCCAAGATATACAATCAGTATTTTTAAAATTTTAATGAGAGCTTACATTCTTTTCTCATGCTAAGTCTAAGAAATCCAGTGGGCATTTGGCACTAATTTGAACTAACATTTCTAGTGCTCAGTAGTCACATGTATATGGTAACTGGTGTATTCAACTGGCAGATCTTCACTATAGAAATAGACATTTTTAAACCACCAAAAAAATCATACCACCCTTAAGAGTTAGTTTTTGAGTATTTACTTCCTATCATTTTGCATACTTATGTTTTTATATAGTTGTAGTCTAAAAGCAGAAGAAATTTTTTTCTTGTAAGTAACATTACATTGTATTTTGTCTGTGTTGTATAGTTCTTCATAAGAATCATTCCTAGAGGATACACTGATGAGTAGATGCGCCGCCGTTTACTTAGCTCTTCCTTATTATCAAACACTTGCCTGCCTCAGTTCTAAGTCTGGGCCCCTTACCTACCTTGCCACTCCATGACACTGAGTAAACAACATAGCTCTGTATTCTTTGTAAGAGTAATCTCTTTCCTTTCCTACTGTAAGAAAGTGGATGATTCTCCCAAGCTTTCCTCTGTGGAGAAGACAGCAAGCCCAGGAAGAAGGACCAACATGGACATGGCACTCAGACCAAGGGCTTTCACCACACTGATCCTTACCAATCCTTACATGGCAGAGTTATTGTTAGCCCTGTTTCACAGAAGCTTGGAAAAGCCTAACAACTTTGCAAAGGGACATGAGGGAACATTTTGGGGCAATGGAAATGTGCAGTATCTTGATTTGGTGGTGTTTACATAGGCATATACATTTGAAAGAATCTATGTAGTTGAACAGGGCTGCTTAAATCCCAACCCACTTCAGAGTACCTACCCACCTTCACATGCACAACTCAGAGCTCACATACTTTAGGGTGGGAAATAATTTCTGACTCCTCCATTAACTCTGTGGTCACTAATCACTTTGAAGACTAACAACATGGAACTGAAGCCAAGAAAAAGGCTTATTTAGTGAGAAGGGGGTCTCCTAGATTTATAGTAGAACTCTGCTGTATGCAGAAGCTGAAGGCTAGTGGACTAATTTAATGAGTTTTCAACTCAGCAAACTGAAACAGCTTCTTGGAGACCATGTGTGTGTGTGCGCGTACATATGTGTGTGTGTGTTCTCACCACCTAGTATTAAATGCCAGCAAACTCGGTCCTTTTAGGAGCAATGAAATCAACCTCTCCGTAATGTGACTTTCAAAGTGAAATTGGCATTTTAAGAAAATAATGTAGATATTCATAGAAGTTCTTTGTTAATCAAATTATAAAAACAAAATTACTGGGATTCTAATGAAAATGGTTATCTAATCAGTTCTAATTATATAATGATGAATTCTCCCAAATTAAAAAAATTCAAATTCCTATAATTTAACAACTCTTTAATTAGAAGCAGACATTAATTAAATTATAGAGTACATAATAATTTCTCCATGATGTAAGACCATTTATTTTTCCACTTACGGCCTCAAACACTCTTACGAACACAGTCATGAACAAAATGGATCCAAACCAACCTTGATGAGAAGAAGCTGACATTGAAGGTAGGTAGCTGAGAAGTCAGCTACTCCTGCCAGTTCAGACTGAAGTTCTCCAAGTCTCTGCAGATCCCTGGAGTAGATGAAACCCCAAGCAAAACAGGATACGGATAATGACACCAACATAAGGATCATGTCAAAAGGGATTTTATCACTTTACATGTAGTAAATTGGTCATTAATTTTTAAATGACAGCACTCAGTGATGGAGTGGTTAAAATGAAACTAGTTCACTCACAGTCTGATAGCAGTTTAAGCTGATACAATTCTTTCAGAAAGAAAAACTATGTTATGAAAGTCATACATGTGGTTAATTATTTTGAACAGTAGCTTTATGCTGAGAAGTAATTTTGAGGGAAATAACAGAAATGAAATGCTTTATGCTCCATAATATTCACTGCTGTATAGATTATTATAGTAAAACCCAGTAACTACTTGAACACTCAGTAGTAGACAAATTGTTAAACAAATAAATATACATCTAGTCAACAGACTATTCTACAACATTAAAATATAAAATGATGAGATATATGGTCTCAACTATGTAAAAACTATATATAGAAGAAAAACACAGCAAAGTACTTTTCTGGATAGAGGTAGTAGGGTGCCTTTTTTTAGTTCCTTCTCCCAATATGCTTTATTTTCCAAATGTTTTATACAGCAGACACATTTTTTTAGTATCATCAGAAAAACACAGATTTTTAAAGGCATTGTAGTGAACTCTGTTGGCTGCCTACCCAGATAGCCATTCTTCCTTCTTCCTTACTAAATGAATCCTGATTTTGTTCATGGGAAGGTATCCCTAAACCCAGTTAGCTGTAGTATGAGTGGATAAATCCAATTAGCACATGTCATCTCCCTGGTTACGTGACCTAAGTTGGCCTTATCAGTCCTAATGGGAACTTACATTCCATGCTTGGGGCAGGTCTGATGGGGGTCTCTTAATGTCTCCCTTTCTCTCTATTTCTACCTCCCACCAGAAAGAACAGGAATGCTATAGCCCTGATTGTCACTGGCAGCCATATGACTTCTAAAATAAAAAACTCTTGGGATAAAGTAAATACTAAGAAGCAGAGACAGCCAGGTTCTTATCGTATAAATGAACTATTTGGTCATTACCATATTTATAACTGCCGCCAATTTCTACACACATGAAAAAATAAACAACCATTTTAAGTTAGTTTGAGATAAGGTTTCTGATACATACAATTAAAAGTATCTTAACTGGATGTAGGTATAAAAAAATAAATGCAACCATATAAAACTATCTGCGGACAGGAAAATAGAAAGCACACATATATAAAACAGTTGTGTGGGGGCCTGGGATTACTTATTTTAAAATTTTAATCATTTTTTGAAAAGATAATATAATCTAGCTATGGAATTATATTGACAGAGCATAGAATTAAAAAGATTTTTTTAAAGGATATACAAATTAGTCTATCTTTCTATATCTGTGCACAGCTAACCAGTATACCCTTGCAGAGGCAACTGCTATTATCGTATTCTTTTGCATTCTTCTGCAGATATGCCATACATCTACAAAAAGTATTGATCTTTCTTTTCTACTTCTTTTTGGAGAAGAGCATGTGTGTGCATGTGTGTCTCACCTAAGAAATCATCTCTGAAAACACTGCTAGAAATCTGATTTGTTTTTTAGTGGCAGCATCAAAATTTCACATATAAACAATAAATGTGGGAAACCTAAAAATTTGGGTTGAGGGAAGTTGGCATTCAGGGCTGGCATAATATATCAAGTTTCACAGTAGCCTGTATAAAACTGTCCATTGGACTAAGCTCCTCCCTCCAGTATCACACAACTGCCTCTTAGAGATCATGATGACAAGGAGGAGATGCTTTGGAAAAAAGCACAGAGTAAATTAGTCCCAAAGTCAAAGAAGAAACTGGGGTCTATGACATACATCATGTCTTCTGAGGACTTAAAGGAATAGACTGTATTTTCTTTTTAAATCACACATGAAGAATATAGTAACTGAAAAATATACTAGAGGGAAACAACAGCAGATTAGAGATGCAAAAGAACAGATCAGTGATCTAGAAGTCAAGGTAATAAAAAATTACCCAAACTCAATAGCAAAAATAAAAACAGAATTTCAAAATGATAGTAAGTTAAGGGACCTCTAGGGCAACATCAAAAGTACTAACATTCACATTATAAGGGTCCCAGAAAGAAAGGCGAAAATGGGGCAGAAAACTTATTTGAAGAAATTAATAGCTGAAAATTTCCCTAATCTGGAGAAGGATACAGACATCCAGGTCCATGAAACAGAGAGCCTCAAACAAGATGAACCCAAAGAGGTCTGCACCAAGACACATACTAATTAAAATGCCAAAAATTAAAGATAACAAGAGAATCTTAAAAGCAGCAAGAGAAAGCAACTAGTTACATACAAGGGAACCACCCATAAGACTATAAGCTGATTTTTCACCAAAAATTTTACAGGCCAGAAGGAAGTGTCATGATATAATCAAAGAGCTAAAAAGAAAAAACTAACAACCAAATACTATATCCAGCAAGGTTATCATTCAGACTTGGAGAGTTTTGTAGACAAATAAATGTTAAAGGCATTTATCACCACTAAACTAGTCTTATAAGAAACCTCAAAGGGACATCTTTAAATGGAAAAGACTATAAATCTAAAAAGAAACTTAAGAAAGAAAAAATTTCACTGGTTAAGTAGATCAATCACTTAAAAGCTACTATGAATAAAAGTCAAAAGCAGTAAAATCAATGATATCTAAAATAATTAGTTATAAAACACAGGGTTGGGGAGCAAAAATGTAGTGCTTTTAGAATGTATTCAAATTTAATTGACCATCA